CCAAATTTCATTCAGAATCCAGCTTTATACTGGAAGTTGGAAATTTAAAACAATTAACATGTTCAATTAAAAGCAAATAATTACAGTGCGTACAGAGACGGATCGAGATGCCTCTTACGCTTGATGACGCGCCTAAGAGTCAGGACGCTTGATAGTACTATGTTAACCTGTCGTTTTTTCAGTGAACTCTACTGTGCTGATGCTGCAGGCTTTCAAATTTTATCCTGATCCCACAATTTAAAACCAAGTGTGGAGAAAAGTGAATGCACACCGCCGGTGCTCTACAAACTGAAGTGTGTACTCAGTATGCGTCTACAGATGCATACTTGCAAGTACACATCTGCAGATGCATACTTAGCTGAGAACACATCTACAGATGCATACTCAGCTGAGTACACGTCTTCAGATGCATACTTGGCTGAGTACCCAGCCGAAAATCCCGGTTACGGTTCCGAGTACGGTTACGACCGGGAAAGGATTCCGACCGGGATACGATTCCGGCCGGAATACGATTACGACCGTAATTTCGGACATCTCCGGTTACGACTACGATCGTAACCAGGAAGGGTTTACGACCGTAACTGACCATTCCGGTCTGAGTACAAAGCGTCACAAGACATCAAGTTTGTCTTCTGTGGTGCTCCATCAAGCAGAGATCCGCGATAAGAATGCATGATCACAGGGTAAACTTTGCAAGTTACGCCCAATTTTGACTTCAGAAATTTATTGTAAGTTACCGTTCACAATTTATGGAGTGTTTCTGAAAATTCGCTGGAGACTTAAACGCATGGGACATGCTTCTTCGAGTCCGGCCTCGGACCTGGATCTGGTCCGATTGTAACCGGAATGGGTCCGGTCGTAACCGGAACGAGTCCGGTCGTAACCGGAACGAGTCCGGTCGTAACCGGGACGAGTCCGGTCGTAACCGTATATTAGGTCCGGTTTCCGATCGCAACCGGAAAATTTGGGGCGATTTACGATCGTAAGCGGAGATTTTCTCCGGAACCGTAACCGGGATTTTCGGCTGGGTACACACCTACAAATGCATACCTAACTCATCCAAGTATGCATCTGTAGGTGTTAACTTGCAAATGCGTCTACAGACGCATATTGAGTACAGACGTCAGTTTAGTGGGGTCATTCCTCACACATGTGGTGCGTGCAGCCTCAACACTTTAAGTGTGGAGAAGCTCACAGACCCTATCTCTTAGCACGGTGCAATCGTGGAGAACTCATGGAGACTGCAAACTCTGAACTTTCAAGTGCAAAGACTAAAAATTTCACACCCCCGCTTTTGAGGTGTGCAGTTTGCCACGCTTGATTTGACGGTCTTGAGAGCCTTCCAATCACAGCTGTGGAACGGTACTACAGTGTTTGTTACATCCCTTAAAACTGGAGTACTTACGAGGACAGCCAGAGCAAGGAGCAGGGTGGATGTTTTGAGCATCATGTTGGATCCTCTGAGCACTCCAACACACGCGAGCCTTCTTATACCAGAAACCGTCGACGACTGTGAAGTCGTGCCGCGAGTCATGCGCGGAAGACTTCCGAAGAAATGGGTTCTTAAGTTGCGATCTATATTACGATAACGCTGAGCACGACTTTCGTGCACATTTGCTCAGAGAAAACAAGTGCGCTTGTTTGACAACTACAAGTTTTTTGTTTCAGGGATCATATGTGCTGACTCATTTGTAATTACTGAATTAAAATTGTTCTCTCTCAAAAAGTACAGGCTTAACCGCCAAGCGGTCAACATTAAATCGGCCCATTTTGTTCCCACCCAGACAAAGTAGAAACCGAATTTTTTTGTTTCGCTGCCGAGAGGATTCGACGAGATTCGATTTCGCTACCTAAGCTCCGGGCGCGAGCGCTTTTTCACTGTCCCTTGGAAATGGGTTGGTTCGCCGAGATGTGGGAATTTGAGGCGCGGGATTTCCAAGATTTTAATGTGCGGCTTTTCGGATGAAATTTTGCAGGCTCATTCAAGATGGCTCTAGAATGGTCCCCAAGAAATATCAAAGCTTAATTCGTTCCAGTTTTGTTTCAAATGGCTTAAATGTTGAAAGCGTACTTTGGGTCGATGTTTGTTACACGCGTGTCGACGTTTGTTACATTTGCGTCGACGTTTGTTACACGCGCGTCGACGTTCGTTACATTCAAGTGGTTTGGGTGGAATTTCAAAGTGGACAAAACTGACATCTATTTATAGAAATCGATTTGTCTGATCAGGACAAACAAAAAATCCTAACATATGTAATAGGCTTGGATGCGAAATAAACAAGTATTTAAGCTTCAAAAGTGCAGTAACAGGCGTCGACGCCGGGGTCCTGGCTGATTACATCCGATTACATCATTACACTTTATAAAAACCATCTATTTCGCAAGGAAATACCAAATTTGCTTGTACGTAACAGACGCTGTATGGTGTAAATAGGTCAAATGAAGCGGCAAACATGACCTTGTCCCAGTATTTGAAAATGTTTATCCGGGGGAGGTCGAAATTACGCGTTGGCGATTACAGGTTTATGATAGCGAGTTACGGCAAAGCGACCTATTATCCTTGTTTTGAACCTACCATACTCCTGTGGAAGTATTTCCACCGTTGCAGTTTTGTTTAATATCAATTTCGAAGCCGAATAGGGTTGGCGCTTGGTTCGGTTCAGGCACAAAACACGCTTAGAGCCGCGAAATACAAATGCCGGTAGCAAGTGACGCAATTTGCGGACAAAAATTTTCTTCCACTTTACGAACGAACCAATCGACTCAAGGTTTCGGGACCTAAGTTAAAATGTAGATTAGAGTGTCCACTCTCGAAAACACACAAAACTTTGGGTGTTTTAACGGCGTTATAAGGAATTAGACTTCACATTGTGTTTCAATCGGGGATTCGGACACCGACAAAACGGCCATTTTTGTACCTTTCCGGCGCTTTATGTGGTACAAGAAGTCAAAAATTTTGACTGAAAACATGTACATGCCTTTCTCTGAAGGTGTTTTGTTGTTATATAAGGGGTATTTGCTGATAGGAAGTCCGTGCAAGTGGTAATTGAGCTAAACATCTTTGATTTTAAAATTTCCACATTTTGACGAACCAACCCAAATATCTCCTGCTTGATGTATCCTTTCTGCAATGACCCTTTGGGCGACTGGCCAACTCGCTTGAAAGCTTCTTTTACACTGCGAATCCGATGGCAATAAAGTTTGATAAAGCCTCAAACTTGGCCAGCCCCGATCTGAAATTTTCATCTGCTTGCCAATATTTGGCGCTCTGGCCTGCTGCAATGCAATATTTCGCAAGCTCAGGAGCATTCTATAGGGCCAGGCTTGTCCTCATCATAGTTCGGTTCAAGTTAAAATAGGTATAAAACGACTATTCGGTATACTGATACCACTGCACTCTTTTCGAGTGCAGGGGGAAATAAACCAGACTACACACGAGCAGGAGACGAAGGACAACAGTTGACAGTGACGTGGCACCAATGATGGCAACCCGGTCCGCACGGCGCGAACGTTTAAGTTACGCTTAAACGGCTCCCGAATTTCGTGGCAAGTGAACTTGTCGCCGGATTTGAAGTGTGTTGCATTTGCACGTTAACAACTCGTTAAATTAAGAAAGCGAGGTTAGTGAAAACACTGGCGAAACAAAGGCATTAAAATTATGCCCTTTAAGAGCGTAAATGATTTACGCCCCTGGAGCGACGTAAATCGTTAATGCCTTTTGGAAGGGTATAAAAATTTTGCTTAAAATTCCAATACCATTTACGCCCTTCCCAAGGGCATAAACGATTCATGCCCCGGGCGTAATAGAGTATTTATGCCCTAAAGGGCGTAAATTTTATGCCTTTGTTTTACCAGCGATGTTTTCTTTTAACACAATGAACACTCTAGAAGACTTTGGTTCGTCGTTTGGTAACCGTTCCTCCGGATTTTTTGGGATTTAGATTTTGATGTTATGTCCATGCTCCAGTGACCAGTGGGGAATAAATGGCAGGCCATAACTCTCGGCATTTCCTCCTGCTGGTTCATTATGCAAACTCGAGTGCTCAGTACACTCCAGCGCGTTTGGTATACTCATGAGTACACCCCAACGAAAGTGCGCTCAGATTTAAAAGCTCTAACGAGTGTGCTCAGATCAGTTCACGCCTTATAACGCCTTCCAATGCAGCTGAGTACACTCTCGTGGGAGTGTACCCGTGAGTACACGCCAAAGAGATTGTACTCGTGAGTACACGCTAAAGGGATTGCACTCGTACGGCAAAAGAGAGTGTACTCGTGAGTAAACGCTACCATTTAGAGTGTGTCGTAGTGCAGTGTCCATCATACAATTCATTCTTACCCCCGACCTGTTTCGTCATTCATTTTGCGATACTTTTACTACAATTTTTTGCGATAAAACCGAGTTTGCGATTCCCACGATTTATCACACTCTGGAGTGCAATAATTTAGTTATTGCAATTTTTCTGCAATAACTACCTCTTAATTTTTGCGATAGGAGAGCGTTTTCACCTATATACACTAAATTAATTTGGTGTTTTTTGTGCACAAGCTTTCCACAAAATCGCAGTTTGAATTACAGTGAAGGCGTGGCACCTATATACACTAAATTAATTTGGTGTTTTTGTGCACAAGCTTTCCACAAATTGCGCACGGATTTCAAAATGCATGAATTTGTCCGTGACTAAGTACGAAAGTGTGTGTTGTGGCGTACCAATTCGTGCGTTTCTATCGCACGCTCAATTCTTGCCAAAGGTATGCCCAGAAAAATGCAAAAACTACGTAGTAATTCAGTGTGCAGTGCTGAACGTGACGAGCCTACATAAGTCACGTGCGGGATGATATTTCGCATCATTATTTCGGGAAGCCCCATACCTTAATTTTACGACGACGGGGAAGAGCGGCGGTACCGGTCACGAATTTCGTGGCATCTTCCCTGCCTCGGTGCGATTTCGACGGCTATAAGAAGCTCGGCCCGTCGAGGACCAGGACAAGAATCACCTCACCATGAAGTTCGCCACCTTCCTCCTGTCCGCCTTTGTGGGCCTTGCGCTTCTCACGCAGCAGTCCATGGGCGACACCGTTTACGTACGTCGAGTAGTTCCTATCTCCTAGCACTCTAAAATATTCAAGTCTCGTGGTGAATATTCTCCACATTATGGACGGTTAAAACCTTACGATGCATTGTGAGCATCTGCCAGGCATACACTCTCAGCACGTTACTGACTTTTTCCTCATTAATAACGTATTCGTATTAGCAACAATAATATTATTGTTGCTAATACGAATACGTTATTAATGAGGAAAAAGTTCGTATATATATACTAATAATTGTAAGCATGAAAAATTTCATTTGTAAAATCATGTACAAAACCAAATTGTCAGTACATTATTTAAAATTTCGTAAGTAGTTCTTTTAAAAAGAAAAAGTACATATTATAGTCGCACAAATTACTTGCATAAGTACTGAGAAAATGAGCAAAAAGTCAATAACGTGCTGAGCGTGAAAAAATTTTGAGTTTTTCATACCACGAAATAGTTAATTAGAATAATTTTCTTCGTCAGCTTAAGAAAAGCTTATTATCTTTGTAAGGCCTGGAGTTGTATGAAAGGTTATTGCAGCGTGTGGAGGTGCAGCTGACTCAATAACTTAAAAATCGTTGCGTCGTTTCCGGGTTACAGGAGACGTTTATCGCGACGCACGGCTGGCGGTTCGGCCACTACGTCGGGGCGTGCACCCTTGAGGCTTACAACAAGTACCCCGGCTTCGGCGCCTCCGCCTGGGCCGGCATCTGCACCTGCCACACGCAGTCCGTGACGACCTCGGCGCCCTACGGCGTCAACCTGGGCCCCTACATGCGCAGCTTGATCACTTGCACCCTCATCAGCACGATCCCCGGCGTGGCCGTGATCGGGGCAGAGATGGTCCACTGCGTGGCCAACAAGGTCAACGCGTACGTGGGCTTGGGAGGCAAGTAGGCTAGTAGGGTAGACTTTGGGGCCGTCCTCCGAGCTACGATGCGAAATAAATATAAGTCTTCAGACGAAAAATAACACCGTTTCTCTTTTTACAACAAAGAGTGTCGTGCAATGGTGTTGTGCAATCGTGATATGGAGCCGTATCCCCTGCCCCTGCGTAACATGGAGCGTTTCCTTTGTGCCTTCGGTCGAAAGGCCACTTGAAAGGTCAAGTTTCTGATCCGATGGCACCACTTTGGGTCTGGACGAGTTCGCCAGTCCCAAACCCCCACAAACGCCAAATTTGGGAGGGTTTTGCACGTCTAGCAAACCCAGGTTCTTTTCAGATGTCGCTCCGGAGGGTTTTGGGCTGTTCGCAAGAGACCCACAAACCGAGTGTAGTTCAGTTCTGAGCGAGTCGCCGACCAAGTCTATTTCTATAGTTTTCGTTTCCTGGAGCTTCTCTCTTTTGAAACGTGATTCAAAGGATATTGAAAAAAAAATCCTGATAATTGAACGGTGAGAGTTGTGACCCAACTTTGGCAAGAAACATTTTTTCTGTCTTAGGGTGAGAATCAAAGTGATCGCCAAATTTTGGTCATAAATTTCTCTAACGTCCCCAAAACACATGGGGAAACGTGTTCGTCTTCAAAAACCATCAATATATTTCGTTACACTTCTGGAGGTCCTCTGTGTTGTTAGAGCGAATGGCGAGATTGAAAGAGTCTAGGAAACAGTAAAATGACACATTTGAGACACGGATTGTGTGTGTGTGTGTGTGTGTGAGAGAGAGAGAGAGTTTCTTTTCTAGTTTTTCAAAATGATTTATCAGGGGAATTTTTGTTCAATAGAAGCCAGCAGGGAATGAGTAATCTGTGTCACAAAAATGCAGCCGGGAGCGAGAGAGGGGAGAAAGAGAGAGAGAGAGAGAGAGAGAGAGAGAGAGAGAGAGAGAGAGAGAGCGTGTATGGGGGATGGTCCCCCCTCCGTCCAGCCCTGACCACCTCGTGATGAACCTTAGGGTGCCTCCCACCCCTCCTCCCGTCCGCGGGACCGTGTCGCCGTTTACTCCTCCTCCGTCGTTTCCATTTTCTCGCCGTTGTATCCTTTGCCCCTCCTCCCACGCCTCTTCGTCTGTGTATTGATTCCGTGTAATGCCCCTTCCCCGCCCCCTTCCTCCGCCCCCTGCCGCCTCGCCCCTCCCCGCGGGTGGGTGGCGTCGGGGGCGGGGAGGGTCGGTCAGCGCGGGGGAGTAGTAGGAGAGTGCGCTTGCCCGACCGCTGCCCGGGCCGAGCGTGGGCCGAGTCGGCCGGGCCGGCATGCCTCGTCGGGGCGAGGGGGCGTCTGTCTCTCTCGCACTCCTTCGCCACGCACCGCGAGTGCGACAGAGAGCGCTGCGCCCGGCAATCAGCTTAGCGGCCTGGCGCGGCGCGGATGCACTGGTGTGTCGGGTCGTGTCGGACGCACGCCTGAGTCGGCGCTCGGGCCGCGGGGCCGCGGGGCGGGATGCCTGAAACATGGATGAGCCGCGCCACTTAGAGCTGTTCACACTGTGAGAAATAACAGGAAAAGTAGCGATATACATCGGCAACTTTGGCCCGTCCCGTACATTAAGACACGTACGAATTTCGCCTATGTTTGACCCTGACGGGAATTAAACCTGAGTCTGGGGTTATAATAAATGTCGTTTTCGTCATCAGCACCCTCAAAAACATCAGAAACAATGCCAAAAATCGAATAAAAAGAATGTTCAAAAAATACCCCGCAGGGATTTGAACCCGGGTCCGAACTTCTCCGATTCGCTCGAAACTGGCACCATTGGTTTTTTCTCGTCACACCGATTCCAAAAATACCCCTACATGCCCTGCTAGCTGCATCCGTTGCCGAGATCCTCCTCGACCCCATGTAGACCATGATGCACCTGCAGCAGCGCCCCCGGGGCTCGGATCGGATTTGCTGCCACCGGGCGGTTCTTAGGGTCACCCAAGGAGGCTGCATACCAAATTTGGTCAAGATCGGACCACGGGAAGTCCTCGGACGGACGGACGAACGAACGAACGAACGAACGGACGCACAGCATGCATCATACTATATGCCCGTCCCTCCGTCATTTTTTTACAAAAAATAAACGGGACGGGCCAAAAAGTACGGAAAAAGTACGGAACATGTCTGGGAAATTATTTGCCTGGAACGTCCGTACTTGCCAACTACGGAACGTTCCGTACCTTTTTCCCGTACCCATTTACATGGGTTCGTATGGAGCAAGTACGGAACGTTCCGTACTTTTCTCCGCACCTCCGTACTATATTTTTCTGTACCATTTCCGTACAAAAGTACGGAATTTTTTACAGTGCACGGTGCACTGTCTCGCTTGCACTCATGGGGCATCGCATGGGCGAGAGAGAGAGAGAGAGAGAGAGAGAGAGGGACAGGGAAAAAGGGAGAAAAGGGGAAAGTGGGCGGGGGAATCAGTCTGCGTCACGCAGTGCACCTCACGGGGCGCGCAACAAGGCGGAAGTTGGAAGCGTGCCGATGCACTCTTAATTATGTCTTCCGAAGAAACTCCTCATTAAATGGAGGAACGGGCGTATGAAAAATGACGGGCGTCATTTTTATTCACACTACACAGGTTCATGGAAATCCAAGAAAATATTCATCGATGGAGAAATTTGGCTTGGTGTGATCGTGCCGAATTCACTGTTACATAGGTCAGCTCGAATTTCATTGTAAGCTATTTACAGTGTGCGTTCCTCCGACCGAGAGTAAAAATGTCTAAAAACTTACTTCGTTTAAGTTTTCACGCTCCGCCCCCGTAATATGGAACGTGAGCGTGGCGCCTTCTCTCATGGACCGAGTGCACTCGCGCGGCCAAACCTCAAAGCCCGGATGGAGCCTCGTCACTGCGGCCACGCCACACCACGACGCCTTTGCCGCGCCACGCCACGATGCCTTGCCACGCCACACCACCACGCCTTGCCGCGCCACGCCACACCACGACGCCTTGCCGTGCCACGCCACGATGCCTTGCCACGCCACACCACCACGCCTTGCCGCGCCACGCCACGATGCCTTGCCACGCCACACCACCACGCCTTGCCGCGCCACGCCACACCACCACGCCTTGCCGCGCCACGCCACGACGCCTTGCCACGCCACACCACGACGCCTTGCCACGCCACGATGCCTTGCCACGCCACACCACCACGCCTTGCCGCGCCACGCCACGATGCCTTGCCACGCCACACCACCACGCCTTGCCGCGCCACGTAACACACCACTCACGCTTGCCGCGCCACGCACACCACCCGCCTTGCCGCACCACGCCACACCACCACGCCTTGCCGCGCCACGCCACACCACCACGCCTTGCCGCACCACGCCACACCACCACGCCTTGCCTTGCCACGCCACACCACCACGCCTTGCCGCGCCACGCCACACCACCACGCCTTGCCGCACCACGCCACACCACCACGACTTGCCGCACCACGCCACGGCACACCACGACGCCACTGGTCCACCCTGGAAAAAGGGATCTATTTTCCAGGAGCCGCCTGAGAATTTCAGGGTACTGCTTTTGCCCGCACGGCACGGTTCCTGGGTCACCAAGATCACTCAGAAAGTCGCCTTTTCCTTGAGTATATGCGATCCGGGGAAAACCAGGAACCATTTTCACCGTGGGGGCAGCAGCGTCAAATGAACGCATTTCGTTGAATTTCAAAGCTCCTCTTTCGCGATGTTATACAAAATTTCTTTGGCTTGCAACATTTTTAAGACAACCCTTGTTATTTTTAGCACCAAATAAGGGTGGCTTTACGAAAATTTTACAGCCAAGAATGGGTCTGCAAATCCACGAAGTGTCACTGCGCGCCCGACTTCAGTCAAGTTTCTTTTTAATTTTTTCAATGCATAAAATTGTCCGCTTAATGATCCTTGGGATTCAATACTGAACAAGTACAAAAGTGTATATATTCCATCTAGAATTCAAAGATTCTCAGTCGTGTAAATCTTGTCAGAACGACAAAAAAACTTTCTGAAAACCTGATCAGAATTCGCGCACACCTCTGAAAGCTGAAAACTTATTCTCACATTCTGTAGAACTCAGACCACCAATTTTAGAATTAATTTTGAGAATTTTAGCTTTCTGAGGGTGCGCGAATTTTGATCAGTATTGCAGACATGTTTCTGACATCCTGACAAAATAGATACGAGTGCGACGCTAGTTCTTTTTTTTTTCAATGAGATGGCTAAGGGAAGTTGTCGGCCCCTCGCTGCACGTGCGATCGAATTCGTAAAGCGCCTGGCGTGTTGTGCGGTCTGTATTGCAAGCGGAATGCACAAAAGCAATGCGCTGAGTCGAGTCTCTATGGGGGCGTGCGCATGGCGTGCTGTCGGAGGGGTTTTCTGCCTCCACGGAGTCCCGCGTCCATTGTGGATCCAGCCCCCCCCCCCCCCCCGCTCCCTGCGCGCCTCTAGCGTAGAGTCCTAGAGTGGGAGAGAAACGCCATGCCTGTACGCACCTTCTCACTCGTGTAAATTTTGTCAAAATGTCCGAAACATGTCTGAAATCCTTATCAAAATTCGCGCACCTCTGAAAGCTGAAATTCTGAAAACTTATGCAGATATTAATGGCCTGAGTTATGCAGAATGTCAGAACATGTTTTCAGCTTTCAGAGGTGCGCGAATTTTGATCACGTTTTCAGACACGATTCTGATATTCTGACAAGATTTACACGAGTGCTGACAGAGAAATCTGCCATACTAGTCACTTCCGGACCGCTGGTCTTGTTTCCGGACCGTCCACTGTGGAAAATAAGGGACATTTTCTCCGTTAATTTATGGCCAGAACTTTCCGTGATTTGAGACCCAGGATTTTCCGTGATTTCAGACACAGGATTTTCCGTGATTTCAGATCCAGGCTTTTTCCGTTGTTTGACACCCAGAGGTTTCCGTAGTTTGCACAGTGCGTTGAAAGGCCATGGCAGTAAAGGGCAGACTTTGTGAGAGAAGTTTCTAAACTTGGCCAAAGAAACATTAACTTACAGAAATGAATGCATTCGTCTTGTCAAAGT